CCCCAAAACCCCAAAACCCCAAAACCCCAAATTAACCCGAAATTATTGGACCTGAAGTTTCTTACTTTAACTATTAGTAAACATGCCAAGAGCTGATCCGGCTCCTCCAAGTTGCTTCAGCATTTCTCTCTGTGCTTTCTCTTTATAATCCTGTTTTTCTTTTTCCCAACTTCTTCCGTACTTCTTAGTCATCCTTCTGTCAGTCTTGTCATCTTCTTGCTCTAGGATGTACCAGAGAACAAATAACATCATAACCAGTTCTGCAATAGCTATTCACAGAATAGCTTCGTTATCGTAAATGAAGAGAACCAGTAGAATCAAAGGCGCTCCAAACGTAATGACTCTTCCCTCATATTCATACCATTTTATCAAGGAAGGAACTGAGAGGAACTCTATTAAAGCAATAGCAATGGGTATTAGGATCAGACAGAGCAGTAAAACATCACTCATAAGGATCTGTTCTCCAGAATTATCTATGATTCCATAGTAAATATACCTCACAAAATGGATTTCAATGTTAAAAATATCACAGATGTGTATAGTTACTTCTAGTGACCCCTCCAGAAGCCTATAAAAGAATAATTTACCTAATACCGGATATAAGAAGGTTGTAAAAAGAGTCAAGAAGTAGGTCAGGCCATATTTACAAAACATATCTAGCTTTATATTGCTCAAGTATTCATCCTTGGGCATCTCCTCAGGCTTGTCGTTCTCTTCCAGGATGGAGTATGGTGATTCATACCTGAATAATTTTAAACTGATCCTTCCGAAGAACTTGAATATTCCTGTGTTGTTCATGTTTACTGTGAGAAGAGCAGTTACGAAATACAAGAAAATTGAAAATTTGGACAGAATTAAGTTCAGTATAAGAATCGACAGGATCACAGTAGGATTCAACATTGAAGAAATCGAGTCACTGTAATAATTATCATATAAATTAAGTGCGAGAGGACCAAGATTTTTCGAAAAAGTGATTGACAGTCTAAAGAAAATATCCTCAAGAGAAATTTTGGATAGCATAAAAGGTTGGGGTGCTTCAAGATGGTCATAATCAGATCAATCTACATACTGCATGCGTTCATCGATTTCATCTCTAAGACTAATGTCAATCTCTCTTCCTACAGCCTGTTCTATTTCCTTGAGGTCTTGGCAGCTGATACGTTGTTTCTTGAGTTTGATTGCCATCTTGTCTACGAAATAAGACCTGTAGAGCCACCCGTATGAGAAATAATAGACCACTATAAACAGTAGAAGGAAATACAGCATCGATAGAAAAATAAACGAGACTCCCTGAATATAAATATCTTTCCTCGAGTAAGGATCGTCAGCTGTCAGCTCATAGAAGAAGGACACTGCCATTATGAAGAACTGAGAGATCACGATCGTGTATATCCTTGGGAAGTAATATGGCTTATACATCAAGATCTCAGGTGGATAAATTAGCCAAGTGATTCATATAGCCCCAATTATTGTAAAGTTAATCATGAACACATACATTGTAGTGGAGTATTGGATGCTTGGGAAGAAAGAGAATATCAAAAATATCATCCCTCCGTATAGAGATAGAACTATTGTTAAAATTTTCGCTTTCTTCAGTCCCAAAACTAGCAAGCACGACATTAGTACATGCCAGAATATCGAAATCAGATTTGAAGTCTCAAACAACAGTCCATAGATGTTGCATCAGATAAACACAGAGAGTATTCCTTGGATATCATTCCTCAGGTTGAAAAGATGCAAGGAAATGGCAACCCAAAGTATAGGAAATTCACTTTGAAAGAATCACCAGGGAGCAGATATATAAGACAAATACAGTGGTGCAAAGCTATCTCTGATGCTCATCATTATCATAGTCATGATTCCTAGGCCTGCTAGTTCTATGACTCTTCCAAGTTCTAGATTCTTAGATTTTCTTTCTTTCGCACCCATAGAGATAAGAGGTAGCAAAGAGTCCTCTTCGAGATTATTATACACGTAGTTTTTCAACGGTATCAATAAGACTTCATACAAGAAAGCCATGAATATTGGATTTATGTGGATCCCGAATGGCAACAGCATTTGAACCACCACTAGGACTACCAGGTGATATGCCTGTGTGAATGAGATCGCTTCCTCAATCATTATCAGAATAATTGTAAAGACAAGCAAGAAGAAGAACCAAGTGAATATCCTTAAAGGAGCGTAAGGCACTAAGTTCAGGACGTGGTAAGAAATTAGCTGGTAGATCATTATATCCCTAAGATCATGTAGTACACATAGGTTCTGTCAGAGATGTCCTGTGCTTGGCTGGCTATGGGGATGAGAAAGGGCTTACTTAGAGCTTTTTGAAGATTTGAAAGTATTTTCATATTTTTTACAGTCAATTAATTTTAAAGTTTTGGGGTTTTGGGGTTTTGGGGTTTTGGGGTTTTGGGG